AGGAAGTTTTTCCTTGCCTGTGTCGCCTAGTGCTTGCTCATGGTGGGAGTTGTTGGGTTTCTGTAATTATCTTCAGAGTAGGGTCTGACCTGCTCTGTTTGGAAAGCTGTGAGACAACTGTTGTTGTGATGTGGCGCTATATAAATAAAATTGAATTGAATTGAATTGAATGTCTCTGATTTCTGTGTGAATATGAACGTGTGCATGGTGATATAGATGCTGTTGAAGGTGTATTTTCTGCTCTGGATGGATTACAGCCCTCAGCTCCACCACCGTCACAGCCTGGAAATGACTCCAGTGTAATCGTGTTGCTCTAATTACCTCGTAGCTTCAACGTGGTTTTCCTACATCACTTTTAAACTGAGATAACCATAAGATAGCCATGCTCTATGAACAAAAACTCCTTATGTTTTAGACACCCGACATGACACATCGCTTGAAAGCCGAAACATTTTTAATAAAATATGAGGATTTTTTAAAAAACGAAGTCAGAAAAAGTTCATTCCTGTATCCTTTTGGCTTTAAATAAATCATGCATAAACAAACACAAGCTTTCTACCCTCTGGAAAAAAAGGAGAATGTACTGTTAACAAACAAGAAAAAAAATGCCATGCATGAGTGATTAACTCAGGAGTTCTGTAGATATCTGAGGTTTGAGACATGCATCGCACTGTTAATTTTACCCTGGATACTCACAAATTTGCTGAGATTTTACCCAAATTTTATTTAATTTTACCCCAAAAGAGGTGGAATTAGAGTGGACATGACTCAGCAGAGTAAATTCTTCAGGGGGATTTCCACACTCAGAGTTTATACAGTGCTCTACATGATGAAAATGTACTTGATGAAGTATAAAACAGAAAAAGCTATGTCATTTTCACTCAACATCGAGTTGCATTCCGTTCAATCCTGAAGGTTCTTTCGATAGAATTTGTTTTTCGGATTTCATTGAGCTAAATTTCCCTCAATATAGAAAATTGATACAATTCAAATATGGTTGAATTTCACTCATTAGCATTAATGATTTATTTCAAGTGGTCTCCTTTTGATTTTGAACATGGAATTTAGTGTCCTACCCTTTACAAGATGAACCACCAAAACAATTTTGACAATGGCAATTAGACTTAAAGAACAATTACACAGGGTGATCTCACCAGCCCTTTTAACTTTACGGTGAGTTGTCTGAAGACAACAACCCTCTTAAAAGCTTGAAAGTCACTATGGATGCACCCCTAAGTGAGGATATGACCAAATCCTGATCCCTGAGCCTCAAATTAGAAAGCTAGCAGCTAATTGGATTCCCCTTTTTTGTTCATTTATTTATTTTTGCTCACATTTTGTTAGAAATAAATATGCAAATATATATATATATATATATATATGTGCATGTGTGGTTGCGTGTCTTTGTGTGGCCCCAGGATGGACAGGGGACCGGTCCAGGATGACCAGTCCAGGCATTCATTGTTCATATGTCTCACTTTCTTTTTCTTTTTTCTTTTCTTTTCTTTCTTTTTTTTACCTTACCTTATGTCCCACTTTCAAAGTTCACGGGGTCAACAGTCTTTGAGGGTACGGACAAGATTAGCTTCTTCATGAACAGTTTTCATTCATATTTTAAAACAATTATTATTATTTTTTTTATTATTTTTTTTTGTTATTCTTTTTATTTTTATTTTATTATTTTTTTTAATTTTTTTTAAATTCTTTTT